CTGTCCAGAATGAACAGAGAAGCACTGTGGCTACCACATACATCTTCCTCAAACATTGATTTAATTATTACACTCTCCTGCTTGTACAATTTTTTTTTTGAGTTGGAGTCTCACTCTGTCGCCCAAACGAGTGCAGTGGCCGTTCCTGGCCACCACAGCCTCGACCTGCTGGGCTCCGGCAATCCTTCCACCGCAGCCTTCCAAGTAGCCGGAATTACAGGCACGCTACTACACCCAGCTAATTTTTGATTTATTGTAGAGATGAGGTCTCGCCAAGTTGCCCGGGCGGGTCTCGAACCCACAGGCTCAGGTGATCCACTCACCTTGGCATCCCAAAGCGCTGGGATTACAGGCTGAGCTACCGAGCCCGGCTTTTTTTTTTGACAAATTTTTATAAATCCCCACTGCATATAGGATTTGTCCCTCAATTGTTTTAAAGGTCCAGCTCAAGTCCTTCTTTTTTATAAAGTTTGTGTTTACAATTTCAATTTCTGAGGCTCCCTCTCTCCTCCCCCCCATCCTGCTCTCTTTCCCATGATCCTACAGTACTTATTCTTTGAGCACTCACTGGACATTGCTGTGTGGTCTTAGTATCTCCTGTGCATATCTTGCACTGTTCTCTCTTATCAATATGTGGCCACCAGCTTATCAATAAGGACCACGCATATCAATTTGCATCTGTCTCAGCCCCTTGCCCATAGCAGAATTCCAATCAAGCTGCTCTTTTGAGCAGGAGATACGTTTTCTAGCAAGTGTGAAACGAATGAGGCCGTGAGCTAATAGACTTGAGAGCTAAACCCTTCTCTCCCAGCACTAGGTGAATGGCAGTCAATCTGTCTTTCTAGTGCCTCGGTTTTCTTATCTATGAAATGGGAGATATAACCAACTGCAACCGTAGAATCACAGCATCTAGTATTAAAATACAAATGTGCAATGCTTTACATAGTTACACTTTCCGTGTTTATTTACCCTGTTTATATGTATTAAAGGATCGTTTTTGCCCGTTCATATCATATTCTATTATTTGCAGATTGTTTCTTATTCAGAGAAGAATCTGGAACATAATAATGTGTGTTAGACTCTTCTACTTAAGGAAGTTTGACGACTAAGCTATTTATATTTTCATATACATTAGACAAAGTAATATGATTATTTTAGCTGCAGGATAATGTTCAAAATTAGACATCTAGTATGTTACAGATAATAAATATTAGAAAGCTCCCTAGTGTTTTTAGATTATATCTTGCTGGCCTTGATTTTAGACTAGTCATACATCAAGGAAAGGAGGGGGGAAATGATTTTTAAACAGTAACTGTAATCTAAATCATCACTCACATGCTTCTTCCTACTGTGGCTTATATATAAGCATTCCTATTATTAGTTTAAAAAAAATTTTTTTTAAATCTCTGGAACTTACTAAACTTTGCTACTACCAAGGGGACATTTTGTTGTACAAAAACAGAATCCAGTATAGCCGTTGTTGCAGGTTGAATTATGATGCTGAAGCTCTAAGCCCCAGGACCTTACAACGTGACTTTACCTGGAAATAAGGTGATTGCAGATGTAACTGATTAGGGGTAGGTCATATTGCAGTAGAGGGCCCGTAATTCAACACAACTGGTGTCTTGACTTATAAGACATGAGAATGACTTAAAAGATATGCGAATGCCATATGAAGACAGATGGCAGTGAAGCAAAGGCTGGAATGATGTATCTACAAGTAGAACACAAGGATGGCCAGACACCCTCAGAGGCTGGGAAGAGGAGGGGAGAGTTCTGCTCACAGTCTCAGAGAGAGCCTATCCTGCTGATACCTTCATTTTGAACCTTTTGCTCCTGAACTGTGAGATAATCGACTCCTGTCGTTTGGAGCTAGCTACTGTTTTTTACATTGTTAACAGCAACTCTAGGAAACACATACAGTCAATTAAACTAGTCCAATGTTACCAAAATCTTCAGTTATCAGTTTGAAAACTATTATGCATTTATTCAGATATATAAGAACCACAGCACTGAATAACAAAATATAATATTCTATCCGCCTATCCAAATATTTATTGAGTCTATATCGTCTACTCTATTCTGTACTAAACATGTATTTTAAATGTGGGTGTTTTTCTGTTGTGAGAAAATGGTTGGTTTTTGGAAAAATGTGTTTAAGAATTTTTCTTTTTTTTAAATTGGCGTCTCACTCTGTCGCGCAGACTGGAGTGCAGTGGCCACTCCCGGCCACCGCAGCCTCGACCTGCTGGGCTCCGGTGATCCTTCCGCCTCAGCCTTCCAAGGAGCTGGAATTACAGGCGTGCGCTACCACACCCGGCTAATTTTTGGTTTATTGTAGAGATGAGGTGTTGCCAAGTTGCCCAGGCAGGTCTCGAACCCGCGGGCTCAGGCAGTCCACT